TCTTGGCAGCGGCCTTATCAGCTGGCGCTCCACCCGCTCCTCGGCTGCAGCCCTCTCCTCCTGCGAGGCGGAATTGTATGCCGCCACCATGGCTGCGCAAGAGGCCCGCTGGCTCACCTTCCTTCTTGAGGAACTTGGTGCCCCCCAGCGCTGTCCCACAATTTAGTGTGACAATGCTAGTACCATTCACCTCACCAAAGATGCTGTGTTTCACGGGCGCTCCAAGCACATTGAGCTCCGTCATTTCTTCATTCGCGATCTTGTTCAGGCGGGGCACCTTCGCCTCGACAAGGTTGACTCGGCGGCCAACCTTGCCGACATCTTAACAAAAGCTCTTCCTCATGCCGCTCACTCTTTCCTACTTCGTCTTCTTGGCCTCACTCCTCCTAAGTCGCCTCCCGCCTCTTGATTCTAGCCTTCTAGCCTTATGCATGTTGGGGGGTTGTGTTGTAATTTCATTTCATACAACATACATAGGCTAGAAGGGTAGCACATTTATAAATTGGGGGTTTGCTTAGTGTACCCTCCAACCACATTTTGTGGTTGGTTGGGATTGGTCCTTAGCTCAACCTAGGGATGAGCAAAGGGCGAACACGAACATGTTCGTCTTCGCCCCTTACCGAACACCCTCTTTTGCCGAACCGAACACTGTTCGGTTCGGCGAACAGTTTAGGAAAAAACAGGTGTTCGCTGTTCGCCTGTGGAGGCGTGTTCGGGCGAACCTCGAACACTGTTCGTGTTCGTCGCGGGCAAATTTCAGCAGCGGCCCGAACACGAACGTGTTCGGGCGAACATCGAACACTGTTCGGCGAACGATTTGAGCTAAAAAACAAAACCTTTTCGGTTCGCCTCGAACACGTTCGAGGCGAACCGAACAGGTGTTCGCCACCTTGCTCATCCCTAGCTCAACCAATCCCAACCAACACACATTTGTGGTTGCTTGGGTCACAAGCAAGCTCACCACCCATTGGCCAACTTATTGGCCAATAGGGTAAGCTTCCCTCTCATCTCTCTCTTGCTCATTGTTTGTACTAAAGAGCCTCTTGGCTCATTATTCAATGTATCAATTCTAGCTTTCTAACAAGGTGATGAGGGATGGTGGTACCGTGGGAATTGAGGGAGGGAGGAGGGGATGAAACAGGTGACTCTGATGTTCGTCCAGCACACTGACAGGGCGAGGAGTTTAAAGATGGATGGGGTGTGGGGGGAAAGAGTGAAGGGAGGGCGGAGGGAGGGGATGAAACGGGTGAGCCTGTGCATCCATATTGTCAATCGGAATTGGCTCACGGGCCCCAATCAATCTGAAATGCGGCAAGCAAAGTGTTGAGCTGGAACCTTTTAGCATCCCTGCCTCCCAGGCATCTGCACGACCCCCAATTGCAATGAATTTCCAGCTATTATTTAAAGCAGGCGATTCTGGTAGAGTGTATACCAAGATGCTGTAAGGCACAGTGCTCCACAGGCAGTGCCGCGACAGCATGGCGGCAGGGTATGAGACAGCATTGTCTTGTCCCACTCGACGACCAAGCACCCTCTTGGCTTCCACGATTGCACATCTTCACTCCCAAAAGCGCGCTCCCAAGAATGCACCTTTCAACTCCTAAGGACGCACCTTTTGGCTCCCAGGAACGCACCTTTTGACTCCCAGAAACGCACCTTTTGACTCCCAGGAACGCACCTTTTGACTCCCAGGAACACACCTTTTGACTCCCAGGAACACACCCTTTGACTCCCAGGAACGCACCTTTTGACTCCCAGGAACGCACCTTTTGACTCCCAGGAACACACCTTTTGACTCCAGGAACGCACCTTTTGACTCCCAGGAACGCACCTTTTGACTCCCAGGAACGCACCTTTTGAGTCCCAGGAACGCACCTTTTGACTCCCAGGAACGCACGAGCGAAGGTGATGATGGCGGAGATGTCAGCGAGGGCACAGAAGCCCATGCCCGTGTGGCGGCTGCAGTGGTGCAGCCCCCCTCCCACGTTCACCGCTGCTCCCCTCTCCACTGCTAGCTTCGCCGCCAGCACACTGCCCCCCACCTGCGCCGAGTGGAGGCAAGGAAAGGGTGAGAGTGGTGGAGAGAGCAAGAGAGGGGACAACACGGGAGGCAGGAGGAGGAGAGTAAGGAAAGGATATCTTGTGCTGTTCTTCTCTCCACTGAAAGCTTGCTCGCCAAAACAATCTACCCAACTGCTTGGAGAGGAGGCACGGAGAGGAAAGGAAAGGAGATGGTAACAAAAAGAGGTGGCAAGGGAAAGAGATGGTAAGTGGAGGTAAGGAAAGGAGATGGTGCTGCACCCCTTTCCACTGGTAGCCTTGCCATCAGCACAACACACTGCCCCCCCACCCCCACCTGCCCCGAGCGGGTTACTGCAGGATAGACGAGGTGAGAGGCACAAGGCAGAACAGAGGAAGATGTTTCGTACCAGCCTTGTAAGACAGTACACGACCCATCACCATCCCGCCCTCCATCACCCCCACCCCACTCTCACCCCCATGCCCACCATCACCATCACCATCACCATCACCATCACCATCACCATCACCATCACCATCACCATCACCACCACCATCACCACCACCATCACCATCACCATCACCACCACCATCACCATCACCATCACCATCACCATCACCATCACCATCACCATCACCATCACCACCACCACCGTCACCATCACCATCACCATCACCACCATCACCATCACCATCACCATCACCATCACCACCATCACCATCACCACCACCACCACCACCACCACCACCACCACCACCACCATCACCATCACCATCACCATCACCATCACCATCACCATCACCATCACCATCACCACCACCATCACCACCACCACCATCACCATCACCATCACCATCACCACCACCACCACCATCACCACCACCACCATCACCATCACCATCACTACCACCACCATCACCACCACCACCATCACCATCACCATCACCATCACCATCACCATCACCACCACCACCATCACCATCACCATCACCACCACCACCATCACCATCACCTTGCCTGGTATCGGAAGGGGCGCACAACTCGATGCTGGAGAATGAAGTTGGGGAAGAGCGCCAGTGGGGGCAGCTGGACGAGGCAGCGGGCCGGTGAGGGGAAGAAGTGGGAGAAAGAGAAAAAGGTCAAAGATTGCGAATTTGGTCAAGACGGGAAACGTGGGAGGCGTTTCTTGCAAGGGGAAATGAGGAAAGCGTGAATTTGCGTGCATGCCATGCCATGCAGCAACACACACTCTCTAAACACATTCCCAAGCCAAGAAAATAGACAGTTCTGTTTGCATGCAACACACACAAGCACGCAAGAAGAACCTTGAGCCGAGCAACCAAGCGTTCCATCCCCCTCGCAGATGACCCACTGTCCCACAGCATTCCCTCCCACTTCCCCAATACCATACACGTGCCTCACCTCTCCAATGGTGGCAAGATTGAAGCTGCTTCGAAGGCTGTCCAGATACTCCTGAGAATGCACCTGAAGGGGCATAGCATGGCCACACAGCACGGGAAGTTTTCGTGCAAAGTGAAGGGGACGCACTGGGAAGAGGAACACAGTGCCATGGAAGATCCGTAGCATGGTGACACGGTGTGCGATGAGCAGTGGAATAGAGCTCGTCACCCGAGCCACAGCGAGCCAGCACACCGGCAAGCAAGCAGCTAGAGGCGTTCCCAGCAGCAGCAGCAGCAGCAGCAGCAGCAGTGTGACGTCGAGGTGGCAGTGGCACACCACCAACACCAACACGCAACGACACCAGCATGTCAGTTGATGCACACCAACACAACACGCACATCTGGTCGCTGTGTGGCTGCAAGTTAGGTTCACACGCTTTGTCGGAAATGACCTTCTGAGTTGACACAGAAGTCGCTCAGGCAATGGGCAGTGAGATGTGGGCCAGACAGACTCACCAGCAGCAGATCACATCACACGGTTTGAATCAGCCCTGGGGTGAAGTGAAGCACCTAGTGTGGCCGCATGCATGCACCCCTCGTCCACACCATAGTGCAGCAGCAGCGGCAGCAGTCAGTCACCTCACCAGCAGCAGGTCGTCGTTGGTGGCAGCTCTGGGGTGCACCACCTGGTGCGGCTGTATGCGCCCCTCTTCTATGAGAAAACTCACGATGCGCCCCCACTTGCCCGAGTCAAAGGGGTGCCTGATGGGCGTGAGGAGGAGGGAAGGAGGAGAGTCGGAAGAGAGCGAGAGCATTGGGAGGAGGGCGGAGTAGGGGCAGCTGCAAGAGAAATCTCTGGGCGATATAAGCACGATGCTGTTCCATGTGAAACAGTCAGACGAGTGGTTGGACGGAGGGTGCGAGGAGGGGAGAGGAAAGGGAAGGGGAAGAAAAGCGGAAGAGAAAGGGAAGCAGTTGGAAAACGTTTAAGGCCGGGAGTTGCTATAGGGAGGATGGGACAGGTGAGGAAGTGAGGGGGCTACATGAAAAAAGGGTTGAGGAAGGGGGAACTAAACAGTGACAGTGGAGCACAGAACGTGGCGGGGAGGCAGAGTGAAAAGCAGGAAACGAGGGGAGACACAAAAAGCAGGAGGCGGCAGGGAGGGAGAGGGATTGAAAGCAGTTTAGAACAGAGAGAAGGCAAGTGCAGGGCTGTATGGGCCCCATGGTGTGTTGGCATGTGTGGGTGTTTGGGCGGTGGTATGGCAGCAGGATGAGGCAAGGCAAGCGCACTCACAGCTTCTCGATGCCAAAGAGGCGCATGTTGTAGTCATCGCAGTACACCAGTGGCCTCTGCCTCCCACAGGGGCCACACAGGGCGGCACAGAGCAGCACAGGGCGGCACAGGGCGGCACAGGGTAGTACGGGGCGGCACAGGGCGGCACAGGGTGGCACAGGGTGGTACGGGGCGGCACAGGGCGACAGAGAGTGGTACAGGCGGCACAGAAGCAGCAGAGGCAAGGAGAGGGAAAATGCACATGCAGTGGAAGCACAAGTGAAAAGCATATTGTGATGCTCAGATGCTCTCCACTCCAACATCACTAGGCCACTTCACCCCACCCACCCTGCCTTCCTCACAACCCACCCTGCCTCTCTATTCCCAGCTAACCCCCCCTGGGAGTGGTCATGTGAACTCAGGTGACTTTTGAGTCGACTCAAAAACCCCCCCTGGGAGTGGTCATGTGAACTCAGCCCAGCTTCTTAGAAACAACCGACCTTCATCCATCACCTCTCTCCCATCCCCCCCACCTCACCCCTCTCTCCTCACCCCCCTCTCCCCAACCCCCCTTCCTCACCCTTTCCAACCCCCTCTCTCCTCACCCCCCTCTCCCCAACCCCCCTTCCTCACCCTTTCCAACCCCCTCTCTCCTCACTCGCCTCTCTCCTCACTCGCCTCTCTCCTCACTCGCCTCTCTCCTCACTCGCCTCTCTCCTCACTCGCCTCTCTTCTCACTCCCCTCTTTCCTCGCCCCCCTCGCTTCCCACCCCCCTCTTTCCCCATCCCCTCTCTCCTCACGGACCCCTGTCCAGCAAACACTCATCCCTCCCGTTTGCCTCTCTCCACCCCTCACCTTCTCTTCCCCCCACCCCTCACCTTCTCTTCCCCCCACCCTTCACCTTCTCTTCTCCCCACCCCTCACCTTCTCTTCCCCCCACCCCTCACCTTCTCTTCCCCCCACCCCTCACCTTCTCTTCCCCCCACCCCTCACCTTCTCTTCCCCCCACCCCTCACCTTCTCTTCCCCCCACCCCTCACCTTCTCTTCTCCCCACCCCTCACCTTCTCTTCCCCCCACCCCTCACCTTCTCTTCCCCCCACCCCTCACCTTCTCTTCCCCCCACCCCTCACCTTCTCTTCTCCCCACCCCTCGCCTTCTCTTCCCCCCACCCCTCGCCTTCTCTTCCCCCCACCTCTCGCCTACTCTTCCCCGTCGCTGCCCTCAACTTCTCTTTCCCCGCGCCCCTCGCCTTCTCTTCCCCCCGCCCCTCGCCTTCTCTTCCCCCCCACCCTCGCCTTCGCTTCCCCCCCCCCTCTCACCTTATCGCCCTCGTCGCTGCCCTTACCTTCTCTTTCCCCCCGCTCCTCACCTTATCGTCCCCGACGTCAAACAGCAATTCTGACTGCATTAATCGCCGCCTCGTCTCCTCGTCACCCCCCACGACGCCATCACCAGCCCTCCGCCCTCCTCGCTCCGCCTCCTCTACGCCCTCCGCTTCCGCTCCGCCACACGACGGCTGAGTGACGCTTGTTGTGCTTCTATCGGGATCCGCGCCACCCGCGCCGGCGGACATGTTGACGGCTAGCCGACTGGCTCTCGAGCGCTGCGCTTTCGCGACCGAGGAACAGGAACGTGAGCAGTTATTCCTGGATAAAGAGGGAAAATGACGGCTAGCCGACTCTCTGGTCGCCTTTCCACCGACGGTCGGGACTGATCGCTCTGGGCTAATGCGATGAGGTGCAATGTAACGGGGACAAACGAGAACTACGTGGCACTTGAGCGACCGCAGAGCATGAGTGGCTCGTTTTGGCAGAGCTGCGGCTGTAACAGAAGGGTCAAGAGCGGTGGCAGCAGCAGCGGAAGCAAGAGCGCGATGCCGCACAATCATGGGAGCCTGGCGCGGCGGACCAGCGCGCAACAATTCCCGCATTGCAAGGAGAGGGCGACCACGAGCGAGATGGCGAATGTCAGAAAGAACCACACGAATGTCAAACTGGGCGGCCAAGCCAGATGTGTTCGCGTTAGGAGTTACCCCTCACCTTTCCATTAAAAAACCACTTAACATTGTCCTCAGGTTTGGTCTATTGAGTTTTCTCTTTATTTGAGTCCAACCACCAGCTTTCTAAAAAAATGTATCTGATCTATTATTTTGAATAATATTAATAATTTATCAAACAAATATGCGTATTGAACAAAACAAACTATGTGGCACTTGAGCTATATGTCTTGTATATAGATTAGAACGTCAATGAGTTTCAATTGATTTTCGTGGAGTTTTTTATTTTTTTTGTTAAGAGAGAAACTTTGACAATTGTTAGCCGCTTGCATGCATAGACATTATGAACATTCGTAAGGGAAGTTTACTGGTAAAGTGGCAAGTATTATGGATTCAGTGTGTCAATGCAAGGGACAACAAAGGTCAAGGATAGTATACAGAGAACAGGAGGGCGGAAGACAAGGAAAAGAGAAAGATGATAGGAGGAGACGAAGAAAGGAAGATACCAAGAGGGCACTCGACGGCACAAGGGGCGGGGGGAGGTACTTGTGAGTCACCTTTGGACAGCTGAGGTTAAGGTTAAGGTTATATAAGGTCGTAACCGTGTACAGCAAAGCATAGAGCAGCTAGAAATATGGTCTACACAACCAACGGCCCAAAGGCATACGTAGGGAGCACGCTATACCCATTGGATGGAAGGGCTAGGGGGGGCGAAAGGGGTCCCCAAGCAACCAGGACGAGCGGAGGTCCGGGTGAATAGAAGGGGTTCCATCGTGGTAAAAAACGAGAAAGCGGAGTCGAGTGGCCAACTTAATACGAGTAGCTGAACGTAGTTGTTTTTTCGCAGATTGTTTCTTCCTTCGCTGTCAGAACATTATAGCTTATACATCTGTGTAGGCTGTAGTGGGGTAGCCCATAAGGGGTACAACCCAATTAGGGTTAGTACTTGTACCCAACTGTTTCATAGTTCAATCATTCTCGTTCTAATTATCACATGGTATAGAGCAGGTTCCCTCGTGGGAACTGTTCCTAGGGCCCACCGACCTTTTTTTTCCTGCCCGAAGCGCGCTTTGCCCCTGCCCGAGTCGCGCCCCGTGTGACTCACCTTCGTGGCCTCTAGCGGCCTCCCTAACGGCCCCTAGTGGCCCCATCGCGCCGTCCTCACGGCCCCGTCGCGCCGCCCTTGCGGCCCTCTTCGCACCGCCCTCGCAGCCCCTTTCCGCGGCCCCGTCGCCGCCCTTTCAGCAGCCCCGTCGCTGCCCGCCCTTTCAGCGGCCCCGTCGCCGCCCTTCCGCGGCCCCGACGCCGCCCTCCAGCGGCCCCGTCGCCGCCCGTCCGCGGCCCTGTCGCCACCCTTTCAGCGGCCCTGTCGCCGCCCGCCCTTTTAGCGGCCTCGTCGCCGCCCTTCCGCGGCCCCGTCGCCGCCCTTCAGCGGCCCCGTCGCCACCCTTCCGAGGCCCCATTGCCGCCCTTTCAGCGGCCAGTCGCCGCCCTTTCAGCGGCCCCGTCGACGCCCTTCCGCGGCCTCGTCGCCACTCAGCCGCCCAGCGCTAGAGCCGCCGAGCCGCCCAACCACTGAGCACCCGAGCCGCCGAGCAACCGAGCCGCCGAGCAGCCGAGCCGCCGAGCAGCCGAGCCGCCCTGCAGCCGAGCCGCCCGATCGCCGAGCCGCCCTGCAAACGAGCCGCCCGACCGCCGAGCCGCCCAGCAGCCGAGCCACCGAGCCGCACCGCAGCCGAGGCGCTGGGGCCTGTCGGCCTGCCCGGGACCGCCCCACTTGCCTGGTAAGAGCAGCGCCTCTACCATTGCACTGCCCTGCCCCACTGTACTCACTGCCTGTCTACTGCTGTCATGGCCTCCCCTAGTGTTCTCACTTTTGACGCTGAGGGTCGGGCAGTTGACTTTGAGGTCTGGGTAGATGATCTGCAGCTTTTCCTACACTGCGATAGGGCAAACGGTCTCTCCCTCTTTGACCTCACTTGTGGTGCCTCTCCTGCCCCTGCTGCTGATGCTAACGCCACTGTTTGCTCACAGTGGGCCACGCGTGATGCTGCTGCTTGGCTTGCTGTGCGCAGCCACTTATCGACCACTGAGCGTGCACACTTTAGCCAGTACAAGAGTGCTCAGACCTTGTACGACGCTGTAGTTGCATGCTACTCTTCCCCTACCACTGCTGCACTGAGCCGCCTCATGCTACCGTACCTCTTCCCTGACCTTGCTGCCTTTCCCACAGTCGCTGACCTCATTACGCACCTCCGCACTAGTGACACTCGCTACCGCGCTGCGCTTCCTGCTAAGTTCTGCGCCAAGAACCCCCCCCCCCCCCCATGTACATCACCCTCTACTACATAGTCACCCGGCTCCTTGACTCTCTCCGCGTAGTCAGGGACCACTTCCTCTCGGTTTGCCCCACCACTCTCACCGTTGACCTCCTCGAGAAGGCCCTCCTAGCTGTAGAGAAGAGTATAGTCGCTGTAGGAGCCTCTCGTGGTGACCCTCGCACCCCCGTCTTTGAGGGGTGTTCTCCCTCCCCCCTCCTGCCCTCTATTGCCTCTGCTGGTGCGGCCGACCTCGTTGGTTTCGAGTTGGTCGGCGCTGCGTCTGCCCCGAGCGGGAGACGCCGCACCGGCAAGGGCAAGGGGGGCAAGGGCGCTAGAGGGGCTGGCGGGGGCGGTGTAGGTGGTGGTGGAGGCAGTGGAGGGGGAAGGGTGGTGGGAGTGGTGCCAGGGGTGGCGGAGGCGGCAGCAGTGGAGGCGGCGGAGGCGGCGGTGGTGGCGGAGGGAGCGGAGGAAGCGGAGGTGGCGGAGGAGGCGGAGGTGGAGGAGGCGGCGGAGGTGGCGGCGGCGGCGGCGTCGGTGGTGGAGCAGGTCGCGACTCTGCGCAGAGGAGTTGCTCAGGTGGTGGTCTGCGCCTGCAGCAGCGGAGTGTTGTGACCCTGTCCCCTCACCAGCTTTGTGAGTGGTACACTGCGCGCCAGCGCGGTGGGGGTTTTGGTCCCTGCACTTACGTCCTCCATATCGGCGATCGAGCTGGTGAGCAGTACGAGGGCCCGCACTCCACCCAGCGCTGCTTAGGTCACCTGACGTACGCGTGGCGTCGCCAGTTCCCTGAGGCGTCAGAGATCCCTCGTTGGGGAGATCTGTCTAGGGCAAGGGTTGCCGTCTTTGATCTTGACTATGATGCTATCCTTGCTGCCATGTATTCTGTGAATACTAGTGTTGAGGGTGACTGTTACCTGTGTGTACCGCCTGACCCGGGCATTGAGGCCACTGCTCTAGGTGCTAGTGAGGCTGCTACTCTAGGTGCTACTGCGTCTGCTGCCCTAGGTGCCAGTGCGTCTGCTGCCCCAGGTGCCAGTGCGTCTGCTGACCCAGGTGCTGGTGAGTTTGCTCTCTCAGGTACTACGTCGGCTCAGGCCTTCCACACCTTCACCCTTGACTCGGGTGCGTCCCGCTCCTTCTTTCGAGACCGCACCACTCTTACACCGCTCAGTTGGCCGGTTGCAGTCTCCCTAGCATACCCCTCTGAGGGTCCTGTCCTTGCTAGCTTCTCCACTGTCTTACCGTGCCCGGGAGCCCCCTCTAGCATCCTGTCAGGTCTCTACCTCCCCTCGTTCTCTACGAACTTGGTGAGTGGAGCTGACCTACAAGATAGGGGGGTTGACCAGTTCACACCTGCGAGTCAGCGAGTGACCCACTGCACGTGTGCTCGGACAGGCCGACACTTGGCCACGTTCACTCGTCGGCCAGGGTCGAGCCTGTACACCCTTTCTACTGAGTCTCCTCCGGTTGCTGAGTCTGGCCAGGTAGCTGCGTTGGGTCAGGTGTTTGGTGCAGCGTCCAGGTCTGGTCCTGAGTCTGCTCCCTGCTCGTGTCGTCTCCTGTCCCACCAGACTCTCCTCTGGCACCACCGCCTTGGTCACCCCTCCCTGCCTCGTCTCCGAGGCATGGCCTCCCGTGTCCTTGTCTCTGGTCTCCCTCAGTCTCTCCCTCCCCTACCTCCGGGGCCTGGCCCTACCTGCGTCCCCTGCGTCGAGGGGCGACAGCGCGCCGCCCCTCACTCCTCCGAGTTTCCTCCGACAGAGGCTCCGCCACAGACCCTCCACATGGACGTGTGGGGACCCGCCCGCATCCGTGGACAGGGGCACGAGCGTTACTTCCTGTTGGTGGTTGACGACTACTCGCGTTACACCACAGTCTTCCCCTTGCGCAGCAAGGGTGACGTCACTGAGGTGTTGATCGACTGGATCCGCGCATCTCGTCTCCGGCTCAGAGAGAGTTTCGGCTCGGACTTTTCTGTTCTGCGTCTGCACTCGGACAGAGGCGGGGAGTTTTCTTCTGCCCGTCTTGGAGCCTTCTGTCGTGCACAGGGCATCCGCCAGACGTTCACGCTTCCGGCCTCTCCACAGAAAAATGGGATTGCTGAGCGCCGCATTGGCATGGTCATGGATGTCGCTCGTACGTCCATGATGCATGCGACTGCCCCCCATTTTCTGTGGCCGTTTGTGGTTCAGTACGCCGCGCA